ATTAGTTGTATTATTTAATACTTCAAACTGAACCAGAAGATCATTAATGTGTCGTTCCTTTTAATTTTAGTTGTATCACCTTAATTTTAACCTGGGCGCATTGGCAAGCTGATCCTCAAAGTGGGTTGCACTGGCATGCAGTATGCTACCCTCATGCAGTGACTCATCATGCATAAGCCACCTGGCACCCTGCTGAAAGCAGAGTTTAGAAGGCAATAGGTGTGGAGTCATTAAAACAACTCAGAAGGCTCAGTTTCATTTACTCATTTATATTAATATTTCTAATAGCAGCTTTGAATTGGAAGAGCCATCTAACAAAAAACAAATAAAAATGCACAATCAAAATTGTAACAGAATAAACTGCAAGCGTAACATAGAGGAAAAAACCTATCTCTCTCTCACGCACACTCACACCTGGCAGAAATCCAGGAGCAACAAATCAATCTATCAATCAATGCCCAAGGCCGGCTGAAACAAAGCAGTCTTGTCTGAATGCCGTACAGTCTATAATGCAAGGCCTCAACGAACCTCCAGGGGACAAAAGGTCTTCAGTAATAACCTACTGTAGGCACCAAAAAGACAAAGTGGGCAAGTTCAGATGAGAAGAGATAGCACTAAAGATGTGATTCCATTTACAGCTAATATGTAGATGGGGCTAGCATGATTCTGCTTCAGCCCCAAACGTCTAGGTACTGTCTTGTGAAAAAAGCCACACCAACTTGTCAGACCCTCCAAGTGTCTCTATTTTCCAGGGACAGTCCCGGATTTATGGAAGCCATCCCAATTTCTGATTTGATCCTGCTTTTCCTTAGGACATCCCTAATTTCATCAGAGAAATGTTGGAAGGTATGATAAGATGTCCCTATTTTCATCAGAGTTATGGAGTTATGTGACCCCCCCACAAGCCATGCCGATAAGTAACTATACAAGCTTTAGAAGACATCTAAAGGCAGCCCTGTATAGTTTTATTATGTTTTTATATACATTGGAAGCCACTCAGAGTGGCTGGGGCAACCCAGTCAGATGGGCAAGGTATAAATAATAATAATCAAAATATTTCTGTTATTGAATAGGACATCCCTATTTCTATCGGAAAAATGCTGGAGGGTATGACTTGTACATGCAAAGACCTAATTTGGAAGTCAAGATCAATGCATGAGAGCTGGGGTCAGGACCAGCAGGCATGGTCCCACGGCCAGCTCCCCACTCCACCCACCCTGCACATATTGTGCATGGGTGGAATTGTGTAAAACAGGCCAATGTAATGCAATGTTTATCGCAATGATTTGGGCCTGTGCCCCAATCAACTTGTGGGGGAGTGTAATCATTTATAAGTTATATTGCTTGCTGTTTAGTACCCTGGGCATCTTGCAAAGGATAAATGAATAGACAACTACCACCACTGAAGTAAATGGATCTATTTTTCTTAAACTATGCTTAAGAGTGAGGCATCAAATACTTGCTGCTCAATCCGCAACTGCAGTTAATTTGGAACACTTTTATTTAATGTCGTGTAGTTTCTCTTTGTAATGCATGTTGCTTCATAATTCTAAAAGCTCTACATTGACCAAATGGGGTGGGGAGAACCACACTATAGCTTAACTGAGCAGTGGTCAGGATTGGATGTATTTTTCCTCTTAGAGACAGTTACATATGCTGAACTGGGAACCAAGCCATATGCAGTTGAAATCTGCTAAAAGAGTTTACAGGAAATCACTGGCTAAGAAATGTGACCTCATTTCATACATTAGTAACACATGATTGGCACTTGTACAACTTTCAAAGAGGCATAATCAAAATACTTCTGAAATAAGTGGGAACCATTTTCTGACAATCGCTCCTTTTTATGGCATATATGCAAAGTTTTTTAAAGGCTAAGAACTGGAATTCAGTGGGTTCCATAAAGAATTTTTATTTTATTTTATTTTTGCTACATTACCTAACCTTAGGTCTTGCTCCAAGTTTAGGCCCTTAGCATCAAAGTGTTCTCTGGGGGCAGGAGGGCAGGGTGCCTTTCTATGTTAGTGTCTCCCTGGCCACATACGTACTGGTATATTAAGTACAGAGGTGCCAGGTTGCCCCAAAATTGAGGGGGCCTGGTATAAATCAGGTAAAGGTAAAGTTCTCCTGGATTGTTAAGTCCAGTTGAAGGTGACTTTGGGGTGTGGCACTCATCTCGCTTCAGGCCAAGGGAATCAGAGTTTGTCCACAAACAGCTTTCCAGGTCATGTGGCCAGCATGACTAAACCACTTCTGGTGCAATGGAACACCTTGATGGAAGCCAGAGCACACAGAACACTATTTACTTTCCTGCCACAGCGGTACCTATTTATCTACTTGCACTGGTATGCTTTTGAACTGCTAGGTTGGCAGAAACTGGGAGCTCACCACGTCATGTGGATTCAAAACACCGACCTTCTAATTGGCAAGCCCAAGAGGCTCAGTGGTTTAGACCACAGTGCCACCAGTGTCCCAATCAGAATGCATGTCAGCCATGTAATGAATAATTTGCTAACAGCAAATAATTAAAAAATTACTGTACAGTGTTGACTTCAAATATTTGCAGCTCATTTGAAGTATATGTGGAAAAAAATGTTGCACATAAACATGCAGTTGTTGGTGATCTCAGCAAAGTTTGCATTTAGGGCAAACAAACTTGATTATGCATATTATAGTCCATATGCTCCCATTAAGCCATTTGGGATGCTTGGGTCTGTAGTTTTCATTCCTCCTGGCTGAATGGACTGAACCGAAAGGAATTAAAACTACGTATCCCAGCAACCAACTCTTAGCACCAGAATCATCATTTCAACATCACTCCAAGTGACCAGATTCTTTCCCAGAGCCCCAATATATTTCTGAGGACTGTGTTAATGTCAAACTTGAGTAGTTCTATACTTTTAATGATTCCACATTGTCCTCCGCGGACAGAAGAGAATGCATAAATGGTCACATTAGCTTAATTTCAAAGTAATTCACATGTACCTTGTGAAAAATTAGGTAATTCAATACTAATTCCTCTGTCGCCGCGGTGCTTTGTTTCCATGGCCTTTACTGCCACCATTTTCAGCCTCTACTTCCTCATTTGTTCTATTAATTTTAACTGTTTCCATTTTCTAACTTAATCACTCTCAAAGGGTTATATTACTGTTGTTGTGTTCTGTCCCAAAGAGCCATTTAAAATATATGCTGTAAGCGCTAGCTAAATGAGGCAAGATTTCTCTGTGGATCTCAGCAAAGACTGAGTTGTTACTATGCTGTACACTGAAACCCACCAGACTGTGAATTCTGACCTTCAGAATGCAACTGGGAGTTTCCCATTGACTTCAACAGAAACAGACATGGCCACCTCTGCTGAAATATTTTTAATGAGATAATATCCTTTTTCAGACAACTGATGACACGGTACGCTGAATTGATGGGCAAAATGAAGATTGCATGCACTTGAATTCAGTGCAAACTGTATGGCCTATGCCTGGAAGCTGTCATTATAATCTCAATCTCTCTTCCATATGTTGAACATGTTTTGTTGCATAAATTTCCCATATTGATCTTTACTCTGGAACCAGTGAAAGCAAGTAAAAAAGGGCACACTTTGTCATTTGGAGAAGGTAGGAAAACAGCCAAGGAGATTCCCAGTCATTTGTTTCAGAACAAGGATGACTCATAGGTAGGAATTTGTCTATTCTAGAATCATAGAATCATAGAGTTGGAAGAGACCACAAGGGCCATCGAGTCCAACCCCCTGCCAAGCAGGAAACACCATCAGGAAACACCATAATTGAGTGTGCATCTTCTCAATTTTGTGACCCCTCAGTTTGGCACCCTGTGCCTACTACAATGCCTTAAATCTGGTGCTTGAACCACACACATTTTATAGAGGGAACATTTTACCATTTTAATAAGCAATGGGGGTTCAGAGTTTGGCATTATTTCCCTATTCTATCTGCTTTTTGGGGCGGGGGGAGATGTCTTTCCATTTGCCACCTTATCTACCTGCAGAATTAGTGCTGAAGTAGGCTCCCAGCTCTAAAATCCACAGGTCCCTAAAGCTCGTTCCCTTCCCATTATGATATTGTAGCATAACCAAACCAATGAAAGGGCCATCATGTTTCTGACACCAATGACTCTTTCACATTTAACATCCACTGAACAGAATGAAAGTGAGATTATTCAACATGCAGCATATTCGTTCTTCAAGCTTAAATGGAAAATTTGAAAGGTTAAAGGAGGAAAGATTTGAATACATAACTTGATGTTCATGCTGAACATGGAAAGATCAGCCACCTAAGATGTTACAGCTGTCCTTTTACATGTTGGAATGCCCTGCAATTCCAGAAGGATAAAATAATCAAGGTCTTGCATCTTTTTCATAAGCTGTAAACTAGCCCATCTGGTTCTAGGCTAACTTTCTGGTGGAAGAATTCTATCTTCCAGTGTGTTCACTGCCAGACCAAACACTGGTGCTCTGTAAATATTTACACACCAGTAATTGGTAAGTGCTGTGTATGTATTGAATTAACGAGTGATTAGTGTTTTGAAGGTATTGAATTGAGTTTCTGTGACACAATGGGAAACCATAGTCACCAGTTGCATTGCAGGGGGCTGGACTAAGGAACCTATTGTGTGAATCACCCTGCTCAAGCCTTAGGCTCACACACTGCCCTTTCTCCCTCCCCCATGAGGTCTGGGAACAAAATAGGAACAACTGAAACTATGATATCATCCTTCCTTATTCTCACTAACCATATTTTAAGCAAATCAAATGTCCTTGACTTCCAAGGTCTAATGGAATATATTTGCCAGCCCTATGCTCAGCGCTTCCAAAACTCAAGGGCAAGCAGGCAGCGCAACCTATCTTCCATCATGCATCATAATGACATCAGGTGGTTGCCAGGTGGTTGGACAAGTTCTAATGGAAAGAGACAGACTTTAGATATTAGAGTTCTGAGCCATATATTTATTTTATTTTATTTTATGTTTGTTTGTTTGTTTGTTTTACCACCCTTCATTTGAGATCACAGGGCAGTTTACAGTATGTAGGGACTTAAAACCAGCACTTTGAATTCAGCCTAGAAAATATCTGGCAAGCCAGTACAATAAGACCAGAACTGGTGATATATGTTCATCCCTTCCTGTTTTTGTTAATAGTGCAGAATGTGGCAGTCAGACTAACTGAACAGTCTTCAGAGGCAGTCCCATGCACAGCACATGGCAGTAATCCAACCTCAGGATTACCAAAGCATAGACAAGTGATGGAAAGCTATCCCTGTGAAGTTAAGATTGGAGCTAGGCTACCAGATAAAGCTGGTAGAAGGACCTCCAATTACAATGCTGGATCCAACAGTACACACAAGCTGTGCATCTGCTCCTTTAGCTCCAGAACAGGATGTATCCCACTCACCTGGTCAGGGGAACCACTACCAGTGCCTCATTCTGTTCTAAATTGAGCTTCAATTTCCTTGTTCTCATATATTCAGGCATTTTTATTTATTCAATTACTAATTACAGGAGTGACTTCTATAATGATCATAGTAGGTTATATACACATACACATATCACACACATTGTGAACCACCCTGTGATTCAGGGTAGTATAGAAGTTTAATATATATTAAAGATTAAATAAGTGTGGACAAGTGACTTTTCACCATCCTGTCGTCAGCTGCAATCTCTCTCTGTGAAAATTGCTCCCACACCAAAACTAGTGATGGAAAAATGTCCCATTGCTACCAATCTGAGCTTTTCTCCCTATCACTAATTGTGGCATAGGGGTCAGTTTTCACAGATGCAGAAGCTGAGGAGGGAAGGGTTAACCTTTCTCTCAGCATATGCTGTGGTCCTTATAAAAATCACCCTCTTTACTTACTATGAAATAAATAAACATTTAGCATCACATGTAGTTAGGCCCTAAAGCTTAATAATCAAGCAGAAACTCTACTTACCTGCATTCCTTGAATACTAAGCTTGGCTTGCTCTCAGCTGAAGTGCTGGAACTATTATGAAGTAGAATGCATGTCTCAAGTTTTAAGTGCCACTTGTAAAAATGTCCTATTTTCTAACGTGTTTAGTATCGTGGACGTTTCTAACAAGCTCCATCTTTCTTTATGTCATGGAAATATCCAATCATTTTGAGAAAATTGTGACCCATTGAAGCTCAGGTTAGGATACTGCAAATGGTTTTGTAACATTTTCAAGGTGTTCAAAGTCAACCCTGAAACTCCTCTCACAGTTCATTCATTTGGTGGCGGCTGGTTTTTTCAAGGGAAAGTAGTTATAAATGTTTCAAACAGCTTTTTTAAATGCCCTTAATAACCTTTAATTTTACAAAGACTTTATCAGTGTTATATGGATACATTATGCAGTTATGCCTAATAGTTTTAGCTCTTCTAGTTTTCTGTTTTTGTACTAGCTTAAAAAACTTTGGCTATAAAACTACAGTGTAATCTATGAGCGGATCATTTTTATGACACTTTGTGTTGGATTTTACATTTCAGGTATTCATATTTCCATTGATATGTAGTGAAATATTAATTTGATTAATGTAAAGCCATGAATTAGCATTATGAGAATGAGCCCAGATGAGTCTTGTGCTTTAGTATTACCGTCTCCTGTTTTAGTACAGTATGGGCACAAAGAGATCGGAAATATCTGTCTATGTTTTAGATTAATCACCATTTAGCACATTGCCTGAAACCTAATTTGGGGTTAATCTTTACTATTATCAGTGAAAACAAGCAGCTTCATTAACTATGGATTTAAATTGGCTTATTTCCAGCAGATTAGCCATAGCCTGTTCAGGTCCAGACAGCAAGCTACAGTGAACTTAACACCTAAACATAAGCTTCCAAACTTATCCTTGTGGTTGTGTCAGAGGAGAAAATGAAGTCTGCTGTTGATCATTCTTGTCTGTTAACAGTTGACTTCAACAGACCACAGAAAATGAATTCAGTATGCACACCATTGCATCATGCAAAAGAAGAGAGACATCCATTTCATCATCTCTTATTTCCCGTGAGTCATGGAGTGCAAGAAAAGAATGAAAGAGAACAAACGGCATGAAGATTGTGTGGGGCTCCCCTTCCTTAAACTTCTACCTCTGTGTTTCCCCTCATATTTTTAATACACAGTCCTACTTCTACTGTTGGCAGCTGCAAAGATCAGGGCTCTTTTTCTTTTGTGGTGTCCTTTCTGTGGAATCTCTTTGGGTAGCTAGCTCACTTTGGGTTTTAAGAAGGCCATTAAAGACCTTTTGATTGCATGAAGTATTTGAAGATGGCAAAGGAGTACTGGATAGCTTTTATCTGATTGCTTGAGCTGCTGGCATTATTTTTCTGTTGTTTGCTGCTGTAAACTTGCTTTGTTAAAATTGCTTTTACTTCATATCAGCATTATGAATGACCTTGGAATCCCTTATGAGGCAGAAAGGTGACATAAAAAATAATATATTTTTCACCCTGGAGGAAGAAGCAGCAACCCTGTATCTGAGTGGAGGAAGCAAGACCTCTGTTGCTGTTGCTGTTGCTGTTGTTGTTGTTCTTTTATAAAAAGATGGAGCGGATGAGAACTGTTGAAATCGAGATACAGTACGTAAATGTATGTGTATCTTCACCTGGTTGTGTTGTGCTAGTAGCTTTTATTGTGTAGAGTCGGGAAAGAGTTTTGCCGCCTGAAACACATTTATGATAAGCTATCTTTTCTGTTCAGTTCAGAATTTTATTTTTGTTTGTTTCCTTAATTTTAAGCAAAATGGGATTTCTTTTCACTTCTGACAATAGAACCTAATTAACTTGGTGTTTAGATAAACTAAACCCTCAGGCCAGTAATTCACTGCCAGCTAATCAGATGCTTCTGTTTATTTGCAGAAAGGACGCAACTTGTGCTGAAATTACATGGAATAACTCAGCTCTCTTTTGCAGGGTTTTCCCAAACAGTAATCAATAGTCATCTCTATTCATTATTTGTAGCTTCTTTGATTGTTCTGTAAAATACATTTTGAATTATTCTTTGAAAGTGAATCATTAATTTTATTCAAGCCTCCATTCAGAAGCAATGTTTCTGGTGACTTCTATGCCCAAGAGATGACCTTTATTGAAACTTTTAATAATAAGATCAGATAAATCTGAATATTGTCTGATGGACAAATACCATTGCTCACAGATTCAGTAGATTATAAAACCCTTTTGTCAATAAGACCCCCTCCCCAATGTTAATTTTCCACAGTAGGTATTGAGAACCACTGACCCTTGCCTCCCAAATCCAGCCTATAATGCATTTGAAACTGGTCTACAACTTTCCTTCTCTACTCATCCTTCCCACACAACAATTAGGCTTAGGAGGGGCGACTCTACAGCTTAGACCCCACACTGCAGAGATAATATCTAAATTTGGTAATCACACAAGGTGGGCCGATCATGCATGCTATTGTTGCACTAGGACTGGACATTCAAAAAGTCACATATCACTGTTTTGAAGCAGTTTAGGTTGACAGAGATGTATTTCTCTCTCTCTCTCTCTCTCTCTCTCTCTCTCTGTGTGTGTGTGTGTGTGTGTGTGTGTTTAACCTAGGGATCTCACCCCCATTACTCAAGGCACTGTATTGTAGATTCTTTTAATGACGGTTAACATAATTTAATAGAAAGAAAATACCCTTCAAAAAGCTTGAAATTGTGCCTTCTTTATTATGGCTTCACTATTTTGCTGAACAGCTTATGGGAGAGCTTTACCAATGAAATTCCTTTGTAGACAAAAATATGAGAAACATTCTGGTTACTTTGCTTCACTAAAGTTGCAGTCTTAATGTGCTCTTACTTTGAGCAAGCTGCAAAGTACAGAAGATTGGGCAGCACTGGCTTATATGTCTCCCTACATAGTTTCAGATGAAGGTTGTCTAGATTTTATCTAATATTGGCATTTTTATGTAATATATTATTTAATAATTTTATTTTGATACATTTGTACAAGTTTACTGGGATACATTTTGAATATTAAGATAATGTTTCAGCATACAGACTCATAATACACAATATAGCCCCTTCTAAAAAGCATGCTAATAATCCTGGCAATGAGGAAGCAGCCAACAGAGGAAAGAACAAATGTAAAAACATTTCAAAGTCCAGCATATTACTATGGAAATGGAATTCATTTATGCTCCCGTAGCCACACCTCAATTATAGCAGTGCAGTCGCTGCAAATTCTTTGAATTTATGTTGACTTCAAAATCACATACCCCTTTGCTGGCTCTTCTTATCAGCTTCCTCCCACCCATTCTAGCTCTTGATTTCTAAACACTACTAATCTTGAAACTAAAATAAACACAGCATATGTAACTAAAAATATGTAACTTGTCCCTATGGTTAGCCTCCATAACCAAGGCCTAGAAAGTAGCCAACATTGCACCACTTACTAAAAAGGGATACAGGAAATTTCAGACTGGTTAATTTAATGTCTGTTCTGGGCAAACTGATGAAAAGCGTTATTAAATGTAATCTTACCAAGAATATAGAAGAACAAATCTTGCTGAAATATAACAATCATGGACTTATGCTTAGTAAATCCTGGCTTGCTAACCTTTTAGATTTGTTTGAGAGTGTCAGCAAGTATATAGTGAGAGGTGATCCAGTTGACATTGTATACTTAGGCTTTCAACAAGCTTTTGATAATGTCTCACACCAAAAACTCCTCAGTAAGCTAAGCATTCATGGATAAGAGGAAATGTCCTCTTACGGATCAGTAACTGGTAAAAATACAGGAAGCAGAGAGTAGGAATACATGGAAACTTCTCTCAATATATTTAAAAGATGACTTGACAAACTCATAGTTGAAGCATTTATCAGAGTCACCAAATCCCTGTTAACTAAGCACTGTAAAAAAGCATTCCTCACTACAAATGCTGCCTGACCCTCAAATAGCAAAGCTGAACATAATCCCATCCAACACAGGTCAACATCCTCCCCAACTGAATGGATGGACAGTAGTCAATAACTATATTTTGTTTGGATTTAGCTTCTTGCTTTCATCCATCCCATTACTCACTCCAGATAACCAATTCAGGAACTTTACAGCCTCAAATTTTTGATCCTTATCTCCTTTTCAGAATAGTGCATTCATGTGGATGTCAAACAACATGAGGATCAACACTGAACCCTGCAGCACCACAAATCGGGTCCTCCCTTAAAGAGGGCATGTATTGAGGTGAGACCTGGAAACTGACACCCTGTGTTGTGGGTGGGTACGATTGGTCAGCCACAACACCCGATTAGTAGGTCCCTCGTAGCTGGGTGCAATCTGGCCAATGGAACGCAGTCCAAACAGTTTGAGGGACCTATTTATACCCATGCATGTGACCCAGAGCTTCCTCTTTCAGCGCATGCATTTGGAACACCTGCCTACCTCTCCCTACTTTTAGGGTTTTGCGCTTGACCTTGCTATGCCGTTGTGTGTCGTCTGTCGTTGGGACAGGGGCACGGCAAGAATTTCCCCCACTTGGCTGATTGGCTGTTGCCATTTGGGTTTCGCCTGCCACGCAGCAAATCGTCACAACTTGTAAGGTTGCAAACAGGCTCTGGTTCAGGTGATAGGGATGGGAGAACACTCTCGCCACCCCTATGTGAAGGGTATTCCGTTAAAGGAATCCAGGGACTCGATGGTTTGGTCAACCCCTGAGAGGGGGTTGTGCCCGTGCCTGAGTCCAGGGGGACATTTGGGTGGCAGAGATGGCCTGTTCCTGGCTTTCCACTTATCCAGGTGTTCACCCTTGGCTGACCTATGCTGGAACCCTGGGTCAGCGCTACCTGCATGGCAGGGAGCTAGTCGAACCAGAGCCTATGCAACCAGTCACTTTCTGTAATCAATAAAGTTGTGGCCTAAATTCTGCCAAAAACCAAAACCAAAATTTGAGTCAAGTGTGGATTTATTTGGGGGGGGGGGGGTCTGGGTCTGAACACGCAAATAATATTTCCTATGAGACGGAGCAGCAGTCCACAAACATCACCTTCTGAGACTTTCCCACCAGGAAACCTTAAACCAAATGCCCTGTTCTTTGAACTGCTCCAGTAGTGCACAGGATCAGAGAGTTAACTGGTTTTGGCCTGTGTGACTTTAGTCTTCCTCAGCATTTCAAAATGCTATACATGGCAGCTTGGTCAGACAGGATGGCGTAGTTTAGTTCCTTCCCTGGGGCTCCAAACAAAGAAATGACTGAAAGAGAGCATGAACTTTAAGAAATGGTAGTCTCTTCAGGCTAAAACTGAGTGATAGAACTATGTCGTTTGGGTGAATAAAGTAATATACATCTGTCCTTCCTGCCAACAAAGCAACACATGCTGACTTAAATAGTTCATTAAAAAAATGTGTAAGGAAAGAATTGCTACAACAACAGCCACCACTGGTGCTTTCCCTAGATAAATAAGAGCCTGCCTCCCCACCTCAGTTCTCAATAGTGTAGTCTCTTGGAGAGAGATAGACCAGTTCTACCTTACAAGCCTCACTTCCCACTATTAAAATAATTATTGGGATTGTTTTGACATTTAAAGCTAAAAGGATTGTATAGCATGCTGAAAACTAGAAAGTGGATTTGGTATTATCGCCTTATTTAAGAGACTTTCTTAACTGAGCCAAGGGATGTCTTTGGCATAGGAACAGAGGAAATTGCCTTATACAGTGGTACCTCGGGTTAAGTACTTAATTCGTTCCAGAGGTCCGTTCTTAACCTGAAACTGTTCTTAACCTGAAGCACCACTTTAGCTAATGGGGCCTCCCGCTGCCGCTGCGCCGCCGGAGCACGATTCTGTTCTCATCCTGAAGCAAAGTTCTTAACCCGAGGTACTATTTCTGGGTTAGAGGAGTCTGTAACCTGAAGCGTATGTAACCTGAAGCATATGTAACCTGAAGCAGGTACCACTGTACTAAGTCAGATCATAGGCTCTCTAGATCAGTGCTAGCTGCAAACTCCAGCAGAGACTCTCTCAGAAATCACAGAATTGTAGAGGTGGAAGGGACCCTGAGCATCATCTAGTCCAACCCTCTGCAATGCAGGAACCTCAACTAAAGGATCCATGATGGCCATCCAACCTCTGCTTAAAAACCTCCAAGGAAGGAGAGTTCACCTTCCGAGGGAGACTGTTTTACTACCGAACAGCTCTTACTGTCAGAAAGTTATTCCTGATGTTTAGTCAGAATCTCATTTCTTGTAACTAGAAGCCATTGGTTCAGGTCCTACCGTCTGGAGCAGGAGAAAACAAGCTTACACCATCTTCCATGTGACAGCCCTTTAGATAGGTCCTCTTAGCCTCCTCTCATGCAGGCTAAACATACCCAGCTCCCTCAACCGTTCCCCATAAGGCTTGGTTTCCAGATCTTGATCATCTTGGTCATCCTCCCCTGCACATGTTCCAGCTTGTCAATATCCTTCTTAAACTGCGGTGCCCAGTCATAGTATTCCAGGTGTGGTCTGACCAGTGCTATTTTTCTAGAAAAAGAAGTGCTGGAACTCATCATGAATTCCTCCTCTATTCTCTTATAATGGCAATGGTGCTCACCTGAGAGGTGCCAGAACTCAGGTCTGCTGAGTTCTGGCAGAAAATAAGTCCTGGGTCTGACTAAGGCAGAATAGAGAGGTAGTATTACTTCCTTTGTTTAGGACACTATACTTCTGTTAATGCAGCCTAGAAGAGCATTAGCTTTGTAAGCTGCTGCATCATACTGTTGACTAATGTTTCAGCTGAAGGACATTCCCAGTCCTCTCTGATGATGACAGGAATAGAACTAGCAACCTCTGCATGAAAAGCAGATGCTCTACAACTGAACTATAGCCCTTCCCTCTGAACCTGTCTCCTTTGGCATTCCTTTTGCACACATAAAATGTACTGTGGTATGATATCGCCCTTATACAATTATGACATAATTTTCCACTTGAGGATCCAACACCAACCCATATATGAAGATGGGGAAGGTGCATTTCCTGACATTTCCCTAACTGTCCTTTTGTTATTTGTCAAAGCCACTGCCAGAAATTTTAATGAATATAATGGACTGCAGTGCAAGTTTAGTGCTCATTTGCATGTTATTTGATTGCAGAAAAAATGGTTTGCAACCCTGGGATTCACTTGGAAGCCTGGAAGTTTGTATAGGGCTGTGCATTGGCTGAAGCCCTAGGGTGCTCCGCAGCTTGCAGTGCCCCACTTTCCCCCACCCTCCTCTTGCCTCCTCTCAACAATCTTGCAGAGTCCTGGAGAAGCTCTGCAACTGGCTTTCCTTAAGGATAGTTGTTTGTGGAGCATCAACCTCCCCACCCTAGGGTCACCCACTCCCTATAACAGCTGTGATCCTGCAGAGTCTGAGTCACTCCTCCACATTTCCTCCTCCTCTCAACAGGTGACCCTGCAGAAAAGCTACTTGTGGAGCCTCTCACACTCCCAGGATCATACACTCCTTGTAACAGCTGTGATCCTGCGGAGTCTGGGTGAGGCTCTGCAAGAATCTGGGTCTTGCTCATGGCCAGATTGATTGCTGTTTTTGGCACTGGGAAGGAATTCTGCGGTTGCTATAAGAGCACAATCTTTGTGTTAGGAGCATAGTTGGAATGTGTGGAAAGCATTACTCTGGAGACTTTCAGTGCCCTCCAAACATTACGATTAAAAACTGTTGTTTGATCCTCCTGACAGCTTTTGAAATTGCTTAGCTACTGCTTTCAGATTTCCTCTTACATTGTTTCTGACAGTAGCAAACAATATACACATTCAAAATTTAGATTTAATCAGCATGTGGAGAGGGAAGTTGAATCATTCCTATTGCCTCTTGCCGCCTACCTCCATAATGTTGAATTTGTGTGCACTGAACCTATGCACATGCTTGCTGCATTTGTAGTCTGTATATATGCAATCTGGCATCCTTCAAAATGCATGGTTCCTTACATGGAAAGAGCTTATGAGCATAATGCTTGCTCATGAATTTGAAATTTGAATAGTGTGCGCACGCATAATCGATTCATAGGAGGTGTGATTCCTCTCCCCTGTCCTTCACCTGCTCATCATAACTAAATTTTTAATATGTGAGTAGGGTTAATATGTTTTTAATATTTAATATTTTTTGAAAGCGTGTTAGATGTGCCCTATACATTACCATCAGTCATTCGGTATTATAATACTACTGAGGGCAGATAGAAAAGAGGTGGTACTGCAAAAATAGCTGTGCAAAGTGTCATTTTCGAGTTTAACACTGTCTATATTCCCTTCCTATGCACAAGGCAAAATGGAACATCTACTTTTGTGCTCAGTACTGGGACTAAGAAGAAAGGGACTGCAATAATCTCTTCACTACTTCAGCAGCCATGATGCAAAACAGAAGTACTTTGCTGATGAAGTTTAAAATCCCAAACCTTAATATCTCCAGATGTCCCTGCCAAGTGAAGTAAGGTGGATGGCTACCAAAAGAGAGTCTTTTTGTTAAAGGCAACCTTACTATGGCAGAGCCTCCCTAGAGAAGCTCACCTGGCACCATCTCTGTTTTGATTTTGGTGCAGGTAAATATCTTTTTATTAATATAGACTTTTAAATTATATGTCTAAACTAACTATGGGCTGTTATGCTTACTCTAGACTAATATAGGGTATAAGCTACTTGCACTGCCTCAGTTGGATGGTTTTTTTCCCCTTTGGGGGGGCTGTCTTTTATTGTTTATTTATGATTCTGAGTAGGTGTGTATAGGGCTGCATCATGACATGCAATCTTTTCCTAAAATGCTTCTCTACATTTGCTTAGATTTGTCTCAGCAAACTTGTGTTTTGTTGCCCTGAGCTCCCTGGAGAAAAGGTGGAATACAAATGTGACTGATAAGCCGGCAAGTGGCCATCAGCATTACGTGTTGGGTTGTTGTTAACCTCATATGTTGTTGGCAACATATCTAAAATGAGAACCAGGCAACCATATTGACATCTCTTGGGATATCTTGCTGGAAGAACACCTCAGTGCATGCGTCTGTTGCGATTACTAGATTGTTGGGATACATAAGAAAGGTGACAGGTGCTAGTGTATTCTGTTTAGGTTGCTCACATTTAAAGTGAGATGCTGAGCCACATGCCCAGTATTTAAGAAGGCCAATTTATAACTGCCCAACATGGTGAGCGCAAATGAGAACTCTCTTTCAGATCATCTCTTGAGAGCTTATTGAAGTGTGACATTCATTAAGGATACCAGAATGAACCAGAGAAATGGTCAAATTTCTTTCTGTAAATTATTTCACCAACAGACTAGCAATATGAGTAATAGCTGCTTTTCTTTGTAAACTCATGTAAAGTTTGGCTCTGTCTTTTGTTGTTGTCAGTGATAATGACACAGATGAATACTGTATTTTTCGCTCTATAAGACGCACCAGACCACAAGACACACCTAGTTTTTGGAGGAGGAAAACAAGAAAAAAAATATTCTGAATCTCAGAAGCCAGAACAACAAGAGGGATCACCGCGCAGCGAAAGCAGCATCCCTCTTGCTGTTCTGGCTTCTGGGATAGCTGCGCAGCCTGCATTCACTCCATAAGACGCACACACATTTCCCCTTACTTTTTAGGAGGGAAAAAGTGAGTCATAGAGCAAAAAATACGGTAATTTAGTATATTTCTTTTCTAGCTGGGTCAATTCTCTCAATTCTTTGCTACAAATGATTTATGCAGTTGATGCTGTTGTCCCATAAAAGGTAAAGGGACCCCTGACCATTAGGTCCAGTAGTAACCGACTGGGGTTGCAGCGCTCATCTCGCTTTATTGGCCGAGGGAGCCGGCGTACAGCTTCCGGGTCATGTGGCCAGCATGACTAAGCCACTTCTGGTGAACCAGAGCAGCGCACGGAAATTCCGTTTACCTTCCCACCTATTTATCTACTTGCACTTTGATGTGCTTTGGAACTGCTAGGTTGGCAGAAGCAGGGACCGAGCAATGGGAGCTCACCCCGTCGCGGGGATTTGAACCGCTGACCTTCTGATCGGCAAGTCCTAGGCTCTGTGGTTTAACCCACAGTGCATATCCAGACCTAAACTCTCTGATGGTCCTGTGTGTATCTGAGCTATTTTACAGAGGAAAATGGAAAATTATAAATGCCTTAAAAATAAATGAAATATCAATACATATTCAGACAGCACATAAAGAGCTACTGTAGAATTAAGCTGTAAGCCATTTGGGTTGTGCTTTCTCAGACAGAATCAGATTTCACAGCTTTTCTTCCCCAAAACTTAGGAGTCTCCTTGGGATTGCCCACTGTTCCATGGAACATCTTAAAAAAAAACAAAAACATTTTGGGAGCATTTGCTTAGCTCTGAGCTATGACTTGAACAAGAAGAAACCCAAACAGATGAAAAATAAAAGCTTTGCTGCACATGTGCAGAAATTTTGTTTACATTCAAAGCTGCAGAAATGATTATTCATAATATAGCCAAATATCACCGGCTGTGCAGCAGTTTATTCTGTGCCAGGTAATTATGAACTTTGGCAGTGTCACTATAGCAAACTGCTCCAGATATGCTCCAAATATGAGGTAACTGGGATGTCTGACATCATACACATTAGCCAATCAGCACTTTGCACTGCTGACGTCTACTGCTAACTGGTAGAAATGGTTTATGCTGATGTCAAAGCTAGGAATGCAATTTTCCTTCTGTATACAATGCAGCCTGCTTCTGCAGCATTTTGACTGTTTGAACAATGTACATCCTGAACACACCCTTGTAATCATTGCTGTTCAGCCCCTATTCCACATAATACGGAGACTAAAGGTATATAGAACTCATGAATTTTGTAAATTATTCATACATCTTGGGGATATCCATTTTTAACTGAGCTAAAAAAGGTACATACCTACACAAGCACTAGTGAGGAGCATGTACACATGAACCAAG